ATCACATCACCCCTTACAGGTGATCATCTTTCTATCATATCAGTCTTTTCAGAGGTTACTGTTTCATATCCTGATTAATTCTAATTCTTATGGAATGGTTTCTGTACAACTTTGATGAACCTTAACCGCTTTTCCTGATCTTTTCTCCAGTGCCGCTACAACCTTTTTGAGTTGGGGAAACTGTATGCAATGTGCAAGATGTATGAATTCATATAGTTGCAGCACGACCTCTTTTCTTTCAACCACTGTTCGTCTTTGTGGGCTGCCAGAGTTGTTGCAGAATTTTTGAGGCAGAAATAGAAAGTTGCTGCCTTACCTCTTTTTTACAGCCAGGAAGCGCATGCTCTGGAAACCAGCGTTTACTAGATGTTATACACCCTTTGTTTCTAATACCGCTTGCCTCTGAGCCACCTATTATCAAAACAGACAATGTGGAGTTAATACAGCCTAGGCTGCGTTCATCACCGACTTCATCACTGCCTTTGTTGGCTCCACATCTGCTCCACGCAGTTGCTAGGGTCCTAAGAAAAGCAAGGACTGACCATACGGCAAACATCATCAGCTCACTCGTGGATTCCGGTTAGGGAAGGTGACGTTCAGGGCATCTGTATCTCTTATCTGCTGCTACAGAAGATGCATAGTTCCCACAGAACAGAAAGAACCAGATCCTCTTCCTGATTTGGGAGGCGTCAGTGATGGCACAGAAGGTTCTTGGCCAATGCTATTTCTGAGTGATGGCCAAAGAGAAAGTCATTGAGAGCAATTAGCACGTGGGCTTTCCCCACTGTGGCGGTGCTATGACTAAAACACACGTTCCCGGAAGATTTCTACTTTGTTGTATACCAAACATGGCTGTAAAACAGTTACAGTACAAACCTAGCCAAAAAACGTGCATGGCGTCCACTCTAGGCTAGCTGAGACTATGCAAATTTGGCCTGCTGACGTAAAATAGCAGGCTTCCCAATATCAGTCAAATCACCGTGGCTCCACTTCAGCTTGACAAGCCTATCCACCTTCTGCTACTATGACTGATTAAGTCATTCTTAAGCAACCTGACCTGTCAGAAAGAAAAGTTCAATTATCAACCCAGCTTTTGCTGGGTAGGTAGAACTTGTATTTGGCTGTTAAAATGAGACAGAAGTCCACTGGGATAAGACTCAAGAACAGAGTCTGTTAAAAGAATCTCCCTGCCAGCTTTATTCTGCACGTATGTGGGAGCAGAGGCAAGCAGAGGCAGATGGGATATAAGTCAAAGGGAATCTCTATTAGTTCCGGGAGCTCTCAAGAGTTTGGATGCCCGTTTTGTGGGAAGCTGTGGGTGACAGCTTTACGTCTATATGTTACTTCAGGTGCTACAGCACTGAAGTAACACACAGACACTTATTTAAGAATGGCTCTTCCTGCTTGTCTTTACAACTAAAAGGGATCACAAGAGGAAAAAAAATGTGTATTTTCCCCCTGCACTTGTACTTATTTTGTGTTGCTCTTCTCCCTAAGGCCCAATTTCGCTGCTATAGCTGCCCAGATCAATGTATGACCTCTACTAGATTTGTCTGCCAGCTCCAGAAATTATAATGTCATTTTTATAGTTATTATGAAGTGTACACTTAGCAGGCTGGAAATCTGCCTCCGTTATCTTTTTATAATGCTAATGTCCCTTGAGAAACTTAGACTGTAGTTCCACAAGCAGTTTTAATTGACACTAAAGCTGATTCTGCCCTTTCTGTGACTGATCCTCTCCTCCTATCTGTTCATATCTCCACACATTCCTCTGTTTTGTATTGGCACATGCCTCTGTGACCGCATAGGAAGAGCTGCAACTCACATCCATTCCCTGTTCTGGGTTTTCTTGCTGGATGTTGATAGTCCAAAAGACCAGACCATAGCAGCAGTCATAAGGACACAGAATTACTTGTACCAACGTATATGACAAAGAATGAAAATAATTTCAAAAGAACATTCACTCAAACTGAAGTGCAGACAAAAGCAGAAGTACCAACAATGTGCAAAACGTGCAAAGTGAAAAATTATTTGGGCGGTGGAGGCAAGACAGGAGTACACCAGCACCGCTATTATTGTTAAAGCCAGAACAATTTTCAGGAAATTTCTCCTGTAGCCCAGCACTTCCCTATGAGATATGGCTCTCTGGCAGCGACAGGGAATGCTCTCTGGCATTCAGACAGGGACTGTGCATGGAGCACAGACGCGAGGATGCGGTTGGGCCGAGTGGGAAACCGCAGATACAGAGCTGCTGCCACAGCACCAGAGGCAGCACTAGCTGCTCTAGGCTGCTCCCAAGCTTGTAAGTCCCTACACTAAGCCCCATGCAAAGCGGTGTCATACTCCCAGAAAATAACCGTGACGCAGCAGCTTTACCCCATCCCCCTCCAACTTCTCACCAGATCTGACACTTGCATCTGGGCCCAGTTTGAATCTCATTGTGCAAAAAAAACAGATGATGGCTAATAACAGCAGCAGATGGTTATTCCAGTGCCTGGTCCCAGGCAAGCAAGACCAATCATTCATGGTGGAAAGGCAATGAAAATAACTGTCCAACTAGGAGTGAAAACACACAGCTGAGCTTGAATTTACTAGAGGGTGAAGATATTCAGCACAGGCATCCTGGCAGTCAGAAAGTAGGAGAGGGGAAAAGAAGAGACTGACGAGAGGTAGGTGTGGGTGGGGAGGTTCTGTTTTTGTTTGCTTTTATTTTTTTTAAATTTAAATTTATGTTGCACCATTCTTTATGAGATCTAGAAATTACTGGGGTACAATCCATGGACCAGATATGTCCAATGCTAATGGACACGTAAAACCAACACAATCTAATCAATACGACGTAGGTATTCATTGCAGGATTTAAATCTTAAGTTCTTCTGATAATCCTGCTGACACAAATAGCTTTGAAAATCTAGCCTAGTGTTATCCCATATACTTGTACAGCACATTGCATAGCAAGAAGGATGCTCTAATTATATTAAACTACTATCTACAAGCTCCAGAAGGGGGAAAGAGCAATAGACAAGAAGTGAAAGAAATGGAAGACCATTTGTATTAGATTAAAAATAAGCAGGATCTCTGAAACAAGTATCTAACAACAACAGCTCAAAGAACTGCCCAAAGAACGCTATACAATAAAAAAAAAACCCTCTATGAAGACATGAAATAAGCATACCAGACTCCCTTTTCACATGTTGCTTCATATGAAAACTACTTTAATTAATATACTCTACAGTCTCCTGGAGAAGATACTGTATTATAGCAGAACTGAATGAGGCTGGAGCGTTCCAGGGATTAGGATACTGGAACCCTCTACTTTAAATGGCATATAATCCCTCTGTGCAATACCTCGCTCATTTTCAGGATGCAATCAGGTGCATAACATGGAAGTGTTATTTCCCTAATCAATTTGAATATTTCACTAAATTGTATCCGGCCCCCCTCCCCCCCAAACAATAGCCCCCACCCCACACTCTGCAACTTTATGTCCCATTAAACCCATTTGGAAAACAGAATACTGTTCTCATACGCCTTCAGTTATACACAGATATATTTTAAGTCACTTCAATTTTTAAGAATGCAACATATTTTAATATAAAGAGAAATGATTCTTTATTAGAAACATCCACAATTGCAGGGAATCAGGACCATAACATATAACTACTGCACGTGAACAACTCCTGTGTGCCCTCAGTTACAGACGTTTGGATGTGGCAAGCGGATGAGCAGTGTGAAAAGGACAACATAGTAGGACCAAATAGAATCAGAGCATGCAAACACAGACAGTATTACGATACATGCTAGCCCAAGCAAGGAGTGATACAGGACAGACTTCAGGAAGGTGCAAGGCTTTATTTTCACAGTAAACCATGGGTAGATTGGTTTTGGAGTTTTTTGTTTGTTTATTTAAAGTTCATACTGACATTTGAAGTCTCCAGAAAAATTTTTTGAACAACAGCTTTTAGCACTGACCCAGTCTGCTTTTATCTGCATGCCATTATTATTTTGAAGGAGCTAAGAGACACTGAAGACATCTGAAAAACACTGACTGTTTTCTCTTGAAACCAGTAACTCCCAGAGCAGCTATTCCCAGGAAATACATGTTTTTTGGATTTAGGATTTCTTCCCTAATAATCATTTACTTTGGCACACATGAGTAACTGCTAAAATTGAGAACCTTTGTACATTGACAAAATGATGAGAGCTATCAGCAACTCCTTAAGGCTACCATAATACCATAACCTACAAAACCTTCAATATACTTTCAGGGCTTGTGACTAATCTAGGAGAACCCTTACTCATTTCTCTTCTTAGAAAACCAAGAGAACAGGCAAACCAAGACTGGGGGTGGGGAAGGGGGGAGGGTTAACCAGCCAACTCCTTAAAGATTAAATTTAAAACTCTGGTTCCCCAAACTGGTTCCTCACTGTTGCATATGTGATAGGAATACATGCAGGAAAAACTCAACAAGATTTCTGAATTGAGCTCAGTGAGACTAAGCTTAAAAAAAAACTTCTTTGAAATAAAGATCAAATCAGTAGGCACTTTACATTGCCTTTAAATAAAATTGTGTGACAGTTTTATTCAGGTTTGCTTATTTTACATTGTAATAATTAATATCCAGGGTAACACAGAAAATAAAAACTCCATATTATCTCTTTTTAGTTAAACAATATAACATTTTAAACTAGAACATGCTGTCAGTCTAAATGCCATTACAGCAAAATGAATTTAGCTTTCTATTCTGCTATTAAGTAACTAAGTACAAACCTCAGGCAGCTAGCTTATGAGAAAGTCTAGACTTGCAGGTTTGCTAAAAAAAAAAGAAAAAAGAAAAGAGAAAAGAAAAAAAGCAGCCTGTATTTCAATTGCAGATATACATTTATTTCATAGCATCAAAGGCTACACAAGGAATCAGGTGACTTCTGCACAGGAGAAGTTTTTAAGCCTCTGTTATAGGAAAAGCTTAATTGAAAAATATAAAATGTGGCAAAAGGTACCTCATTCAGAATTCATCTATTTTGTTACAGATGCATGCAATATTCAAAGTCCTTCACTGCACTGGACTGATCACTTCAAGTCTTTGACTATGCAGAATTCAGATTCTCCTAACAAAAAAAAAAAAAAAAGTCAGAACTGTAGAATTTACAAAAGATAATTGTATTGTTCTCTTCCTCAAAGCTCCACCATCCTCAGGGCCACACATTTCAGCAGGGCAAGGACTGTGGAGGAGAGAGGAAAGGGCTGCGCGACTGTATCATCTGATATGATATTTCATATTAATCAGTGCCAGCAGGCTGTCAGAATGGCAAAACCAATAAACCAATGCTACCTTGCACAACAGCATGTGCCAGAAACTACTGTTTTTTCTACAGGAATGCACTAAACTCTTACAAGATCATATACTAACAACATCTATATATGCACATGGTGTTTACAGTAGATGTCTCATAACTGAAGGCAACTCCTCCAGAACACTGGTTACCCTGATGATAGTAAGTCACAAAATAATTTAGGTTGCAAGGAACCTCTGGAAGTCAACTGCTTCAATCCCTCATCCACAGCAGAGCCAACTTCAAAGTTAGATTAGCTCGTCCAAGGCCTTGGCCAGCCGAGCTCCAAATAGCTCCAAGGATGGAGATTCCACAGCCTTTCTGGGCAACTTGTCCTTGTGTTCGACTACCCTCTTTGTGAAAATTTTCTCTACTATTTTATTGTAATTTCTTTTGTTGCAGTATCTTCTGGTACCTGTCCTGTCACTGTGCTCTTCCAACAAGAGTCTGGCTCTGTCTTTCCTTTCTGCACCCTCTCATTAGGCAGATGAGGACAACAGTAAGATTCCCTTTAGCCTTCTCTCAACACTGAAGAAACCCAACTCTTTCACAGCTTCTCTTTTTACGTTACTTGATCCTGCCCCTTTACACCTTGGTAGTCTTCCTCTAGACTGGCTCCAGTACACCAGCGTCTTTCTTATACTGGATGCCCCAAAATGGATGCTATCTCAGGTGCCAACAAGATAGAAATAATCACTACCTTCAGCTGCTGGCTTCATTCTTAACTACATAAGGGCATGCTCCTGACTCACGTTCAACTCGGCGTCCACTAGGAAACCCAGGTCCTTTTCTGCAAGCTGCTGCCTAGCTCTCATTTGCCAGCCTGTACTGGTGCATGGAGCTACTCTGTCCCAATTTGCAGACTCTCTGCTGAGTTTCATGAGGTGTCTGCCAGTCCTTTTGTCCAGCATGTTGGAAGATCCCTCAGCAGAGCCGCCCTGCCCTCCAGCACACACAACCTGGTGTCATCCACAAGTGTGCCGACGGTGCATTCCAACCTATCGTTCAGGTTGTATAAAAGCAAAACTATACTATTTGATCTTACTGATTAATAATTACTATGACCTGAAAGGGATAAAGGACTTCCAAGCAGTTTAATTTTAACTAATTAACAGGTTGGTAAATGTGACATTACAAAGAGCTTAGTTCAGTACACACGCCACCAAATAAAGCCTCCTCAGTATACAGCCTTTTTCTTTTCTTCCTCCTCTTTTTTAAATGAGCAGTTTGAACTTAGTGACTCACTGAAATACCTCCATCCAAAGATTACCTCTCCAATGCATCATTCTAAACATGGAGAACTAAATACATAAAGTATTGTGTCAGTGGCTTAAGAAGTCAGCAAAGAGGGCATAAATTAAGAACCATACATATCTGTACTGCAATAAGCTATGGAGTTCTTAGAAAAGCCTCAGTACTGCAGGCTGTGTACCTCTAGACAAACTATTAGAGTATGTAACTAACGAGTTCTTTCATAAGGGATAAACACTTTCTTAGTTATATACAGTTTACAATGTTGCATAGGCCTAGATTATTTGATATTACAACCTTGTAACATAACTATTTCTACAAGATAAATGTGTCAGATCATTTCTGAAGAACCGCATATTCTGTTATCGTAAAGACTGCTGGATAGCTGTCTCAAAATCTGAGCTTCTTAAGTTATCAAAGTTCTTGCCTTATGACTACAGGGACAACTTTCTCACTATTTAGCATATGTAAATGACACCGCATTAGTTCACAAGTTCTTGAAACTGCTAAAACATACAACCTGCATTATTGGCTCAGCTGGAACTTTAGTTTCCACAATTGAGCAGTTTCTCCAGAACACTGATGAAATTTACCGTTTTTATGGACTAAGAACAAATTTGCTGGGCTCTACTCTGCCAGGACATTTCTACAGCAGTCTGTTTACTGTCTTTCTACATTACAGAGAGATAACTGGATATTAACGTGCTTCCTTGTCCTCCAGTGGGCTTGGAGATATAGAACACAGCTGAGCCACTTAGATTTTAAAAAAGTCCCCCAAAAGTAACAACTCTATAAACAATCTACACAGGCAAGGAAGTAGAAGAAAAAGAGCACTTCACAGGAAAATTCTATTGCAACAGCATTTACAGGTTGCTACTGCAGACAATTAGTCCTGCTGTGCATACAGCCTTACATATATCATCTTTCATTATGAATATTTTTCATATAACTAGCTAATAAAAATATAGAAAGAAACAGCATATCACAGCAGTACAATACAGTAGCAACGAAACTTTCAGTATCAGTATAGAGAAGAGTTCACTAATAAATTACAGCAGCACTAAAAATTCCTATTCTTAAGTTTGTGGTAATTCTTTTGAAAACTACATAAAAACCAAAACCAATATTTAATACAACGGTAGTGCAAAAAACATACTAAAGTATATATCATGATCTTTTGTGTTCAATTTTCAGCAATTTCTCCAAAGGCTGATTCACAACAGGAAGTGTTTCAGTATTTACTATTATCAATGTTTCATTTGTGCTTCCTATAAATATACTACCGCTTTTTAATACATGTAAGATTTCAAGTTTCTATGTGACTGCCTTGATATAATTTATATATACACATATGTATGTATGTATGTATATGCCATTCTTATATATACACAACATTTTAACTCTGTCTTCAAAATTCCTACTAAAGTCCGTTAAAAAAAAAAAAAAAAAAAGCAAGCAGGGTTGCTACCCCAATAAGCGTTTGAGAAAGATTCTTGAGGAGGAGTCCTTCAGTGAATTGTAAACACAATTCACACACTAATAAATATAACAAATACAATTCTCACCAGTAAATTATTTCATTTGCAGTAATTTAAAATCAGGACCAAAACCAGCTGCATGCAAACAGGACATGATGTTCCCACAGTCACTTCATGTATCTGCTATAAGGAGGAGAAGGTCTCTTTTTAAAGCAGAATTATATTTATAAACTAGAAAAATCTAATTCTTTATAAGCTAAGTTCCAAGAAGAGCAATTATGTCTCGTGGTTACTTGGAACAGAGAATCAGTTTCCAACTTATGTTTACATTTATTTGCAGTTTGATACACCATATGTAAAAGTCACCCAGAAATATGCCATTACTATATGCATAGTTAACGTTTTATATTTTATCCTTAAGTGTATTTTTCCCAGAAACCGCTTTGGAGGATTCAAAGCTGTACCTTTTTCAAGGCATCCTTCACTAAAAAATAAAAACAAAAAAAAAAAAAATCACAACACTGCTCCAGCACATTTTCCAAAAGTCAATATTTTAACTGCTTACGATAACTACCACAGAATTCAGTTGGATAAAAATTTTCACACTGAGCCAGAATCATCCTTTCACCACTTCACAAAGTTATCTCGCAGGTTACCTCTAACTGACATCATCTGTCAAAGTCTAACCAAACCAAATCAAAAGAAAATGATGTTCTCCTCTACATACCCTTTAATTCTATGTGAATAACAACCTGAATTACTTCATTTTCCTCTTAGTTTATCTTACTTCTTGTTAGTGCTTTGGTTCATGTAAGACAATGTGCCTCTTTTCATGGTTTTATCTGCAAAGAACTGTTAAAAAGTTCTGTTAGCATTGAAGTTCCAAATCATTTGACACTGGTCAAAAAAGAAAACAAAGTGTCTGAAAAGGTGTCCTCTGTCCAATTACCTTTACGAGACAGAGGCGTCAGAAAAGTACAACAGAGCGTATAAGCCATCTGCACCAGCAGATGATGCTAATGACAACAAGGACTCCACAAAAACATTCTACAAGAGTACACCAAAGCTACAATCCATACCACAAACCATTCACATGGTCACCAAAAGAAACAAGCCCTGCTTCAAAAGAAGGATAAGGATAAGATAACGTTAAAGCACAAAATAACAAGGAGGAAAATAAGGGGGAAATGATGGAAAAAAGCAGGAAAAATAAGAACAAAGACTTGAAGACAGAATGCTATATAAACAAACAGAAGGGAACACCAACACAAGGCTAAGATAGAGCAGCTACTACAAGATATGGCAGAGACATTGCGTAGAAGGGAAATAATGTGAACTTCACTGGTAGTAGCCATCACCATGGTTCAAGGATATAAGTGAACCTTGCATCTATAATCTGTTTTTGTAACCTGCCATAAACAGAGTAAGAAAGTAAGTACTTATTTACTTAGTAACTAAGTAAGGCTTAGAAGTAAGATTTTTAAAGATACTACTTTAAGAAGAATATAGCTGCCTCCATGAAAGTATTTTAGCAATTTAGATAATAAAAAGCAATTTAGCAATTTGAAAATAGCGGACATTTTCTTCAGGAGGTACTTAATATCTTCCTGCCTCTAATACTGGCTCCTGAAAAACCCCTTATACTTAAGAACTCACTCCACACTTCAGAAAAACAGATCACAATTACAAATATTTCTTACAGTTTTATGTGGAATGTATACAATGGGTGATTTACTCCACTGCTTTTCAAAAAGAATAAGCCACAACCAAGTGCTCTCTTTCACAGAGAAACAACTCACTTCAGGTTCTTTCGGTTTTCAAAGTTTATGTTGTCTAGCCACTAAAAGTCAAGATTTTTAACTCAACTTGTACTGTACACAGTCTTACTGATGGCCCTTGAATCAATCATTCTTTATCTTTTCCCATAACTAAAGGTATGCTTTATTTCAGAATGCTAAAATGAGAAAGGGTTATGCTGTGGTATTTTAACTATCAACTGCAAACATAAGCGGAATAGCTCAGACCATTTCAGGA